GGCATTGGAACAGGCTGCCCAGGGCAGTGGTGGAGTCACCATCCCTGGAGGGGTTCCAGAAACGTGTAGATGTGGTGCTCTGGGACATGGGTTAGTGAGTTAGGTGGGGTTGGGTTGGACTTGATGATCCTTGAGGTCTTTTCCAACCTTATTGATTCTATGATTCTATGAAGTGCCCATAATAATTCAGCTTTTCATAGTTCAACTTGTGCAAGCATAAGACCTTAAGTTCTACAGCAACCACTCCAGACTAGTTCTATGTAACTGTATCCCACATTCCAGTTTTAGGATATTCCTACCTTCTCTTTGGAGATGGGGATCTGGACTTTGAGCGACTGTTTAAAAAAAAACCAACACATAATAAAACCAGCCAATGTGGTACACTTGTATACACTCAGTAACCATTTCTGACAATTTGAAAACAAGAGTTTGATGTTGTTAAATACATGAAAAGACACCACCCTTCTTCTATCAGCTGCTCATCGCACGTATACCAAATTACTTCAAGCAAGAAGCTGCAGTTGCGAAGGAAAACTGCTGAAAGCCAGAGCCCTCAGGAAAAGAGCACCACACAGCTTCAAAGCAGCTATAAAACGATGACAGTCATCCTGCAAAGCAGGAGCAGTGAATCAAGTAGAGGAGTCAGAAAGACCAAGAACTACAGACAGCTGAGAACAAAGGCAGGGAAAGATATGCCCCACATCCTGTCAAAAATACTTTCTGTCACAACTTTTTTTATTGTTAAACACCTGTATCCACAAACCTTCTGGAAGACTTCCCTACTGTCCCACAAAAATCAGCTATAAAGAAAATATATTAAAATAATGTATGATAAATATTTTAATATCAGCTATTAAAAACACCCCAAAAAACAACCAACCAACCACAAAAACAAAACCAAACCAACCCACCCTTTTCTGCATGCAACTGAAATACTGATCCCTGCAGAGATTTTGAATCAACACAAAAAAAAAAAAAAAAAAAGGCTGAGTGCTACTTGTATTTCCACGCTCACCTTTTAGCAGGTAAGCCAGATTTAGATCTACCATGCGACCCAGACCTACAACAGGAGAAAGATAAAGCTCAGCAAAGCAGCCAGTGGCATGCACATACAATGAAAGTTAGCTTCATCAGCAACAGCTAATTCATACCACATAGCACCACAAACCAGAAAGTCTCTGGTGCTGCAGGCTTTTCTCATGACATTGCAGGAGAATCCTTTAGCTCTCATTGCAGAGACCCCACTTATCAGAAGAGCGAGCACAAGCAGAAGCAGCTCCCCAGGCAAAGCTGCAGCTACCACTTTCACAAAACAGGCGGCCTTGTACCAGGCTCCCAGACTGTCTCCTGCCTGCAAGAATCCCTTCCATAAAGGGAAGAATAGTTTCAAGTGTCATCTTAGAAAATCTTTAAACAGCAGATTAAAAACCTGGAATCAGCCACCGGTAAGCATGTGTGCTGAAGAGCTGATGGATTCTTCAGATCATGTTCCCAGTGACACTTTTCTAATTCAAGTATAACAGCTTTTTCAGCAGTTATCCCAACGGAAACAGAATTTCAGTTTTATCTTCAATATCTGGCTGCTAATGTGTAAACTATTCCCACCTCATTTTATGAATTAAAATCTACTCAAACAGTGAGACCTTTCCCCCACATTTATCATGTTAGTTTTCCAACTCAAGTATTTGCTGTTACTTAAAAAATACTTGTCCTCCTACAATGTCAGAATTCAGGCATGTGGTACTACTGAACACTGGAAAGCCCAGTTTTTCAAAACAGTTGTTTAATAGACTTGGCCAGAAAAGTACAAAACTTTTATTCTATTTCTGCTCAGAGTTGTTTTTAAAGAGTAATCAAGTTTCACCCTCATCTGGCCTATTAACTTCCAGAAATAGTGCATGGACACTCTTGGCATAAGTTAAAGAGCTACCTGCCACTGCTTTGACACCTTCCTGGTCACTATGCTGAGGCATCAGCCGATACAGTTCTGAAGACTACAACCATTAGTTTTGTCACTCTTTCACAGTTCCACAGGATGGACTTGCTCACAGCTATGCAGAATACCACCTCTATTTTGTAGCATGAGCATGACCTCCTTTGGTAAGAAATACAGTAAAGAAGCACACAAGAGCATCATCTTACAATAACTACTGGCAAATCCTACTTCCCAGAGTCACAGCGACAAAGCAGGAGCGCAGATCTAGCAGCAGCACTGTTTACATACTAGTGTTTTGCTGTATTAGCACAGGACTAGAACTGGCCAATAAAGAAAAAGAGTTTTCACAGTGCTTCCGTAACTCCAATTTGAGCCTGACGAGTCATCTCCTGCATTACAGGCCTGTGTGAGCAGTGAGTCAGGACAGCTCTAGTAATAACCATCATCACCCCCTTAAAGGCTCAATGTGGAAGCCTCTAGTAGGCAGACCCCTACAAAACATTTCCCCCATTCTAATGCAGAACAAAAGACACCTTCTTCCAACTTATCAGCTCTTATGTCCATCTCATTTTTATCCTACCCTTTCACACTTCTTCCAACTAAGACCTATGACAAAGGATAGAGGAAAATAATGCAGAAGCATTGACTCTAAACCAAACTTCCATTTCAGCATGGGAAGCGTCCAGATCCACAAAACCAGTGCTACATGTCAGAGAAGTCCTTCAAAACACTACCTGTGGCATTAGGACTTGTGGTCCTGTTCATTCAGCCCTCCACACCTCTGAAGTCAAGTGTCCTACCCCATGGAATGTAGTTCTGAACTTTACAGCAATTTAATTCAATCTAACTCTCAGAACTGGAACTGAGAGAGCTGAAAAGCTGTAACCAAGAGTTCAGTCAATAGTGGCAACCTTCTCATCACTTTTTTTTTTCCCCTAGCATTTAGGACTTACCAAAAAACATGCCAGGAAAAACCTAAGCAGCACCTCCTGTGGGACACAAGGTCAAGCATTCTCTACACGCATAGGCATTAACTAGTTTTCAAAACTTCTCTCCACAGACTTTAAACCATATATATGCTGTTTGTGGCTACACATACACAGACTACATATAGTAGTCACACATTGAAACAAACATTTATTACAAGAGACTGACCACTACTTTAGTCTGTGAAATGGCATAAAGCGTGAATATCACTATGCTTCACAACATTCTGACCCCTTCCAGACAAACTCCTCTGGAGAAGGGGAAAAAAAAACCCAGAACAACCAAACCAAAAACTACTATTAGTTTGAATTAAAACAAGTATCTTACCTGCTTCGAGGCCACACAACAGATCGAGACCTTGAGCGTGATCTGGACCTAGATCTACAAAAAAGCAGCAAAAGTTCAACTACTACTACTCCATGATTCATAGAGCTGAGACAGTAATCTTTAACTTTTACGAGACTGACTGCAGAGACTTTTGTTGTAACTATTCGTTTTGCAGAAGTAATTATTATTAAAAAGCTGCAGTGCATTTGGCCAGTACTATACCATCCACATAAGAAGTTCCATTGTCCTAGTCAACTAAGCATAATTACTCCCTGTCCCCTTGAAGCTGAAGTAGGAAACTTTAACCATACATCAAAGCTGTAACTTTAGTACAGTATAAAAAAAACTTCAGAAGCAGCAGTTCCAAAATTACATGCTTGAGTTTTTAATTTCAGAGAAATCATTCAGTTTAGCTCTCAGAGATGTAATGCCATGAAGGTTTCTACAAATAAATGGACTGCAAAATACAAACTTTATGCTAACGTTGTGGGCTTAATAGAAAACACATACCTTGATCTCCTTAAAGAACCAGACCGAGATCTGCGGGGTGAAAATGATCTATACCTACGAGGAGAGATTGACCTGGATCTGCGGTAGGAAGCTGACCTTGATCTAGAAGACAAAGGGAGAAAACAGCCAAAATTACTGCAAGGTACTTTTAACATGGACTCTAGAAAGGGGTGGAGCAGAGAGAGGAGTAAGAGAAAGAATCAAAACACAACAGCCAGAACCCTACCTCCTACCACGACTCCGACTGCGTGACCTAGAATACCTTCTTCCTCGAGATCGTGAACGGGACCTAGACCGGGACCTGGTTTTAGGTTAGAGAAAACAGGTATCAGGAAACAGCTGCAGCAATCAGTGCACGTGAGGCCCTGCTGAAATCAAAACTGATTTCGGACAACTAAGAAGAAAACAAACAAACAAACAAACAAAAAAACCAAAACACAGAAAAAAACAAACCAAAACAACAAAAATACACCACTAGCATCTGTCAGTTGGAAAAATCCCTGGGCCTACTTGTCTTGAGCATTTTACTACCTAGAAAAATGTTACAAGCTGAATTACATTGCAGAATTACATTAGAATAGAAAACACTGTAATGCGTATTTAAAATAAACCTTGCAAGTTTGCAGGTCGACCCTCTTTGGCCCAAGGTCTAGCAGATCTAGACGATCTAGAAGTATCTATAGCCGATCGCTGCATCTAGGTGTTCTCTTCAATCTAACGACGATCAAACTGACAGCCCAATGAGCCAGGGTGAGGCTTGATTGACGCAAGAAGATTTTTCTAGGTGGGAATGTGGTCAATCTGGTGTTCCTCTTTCTAAACCGGAGGGGGGCCCCAATTGAAAGCCAAATTTACTGTTACGGCGATCACCGTCTCAAATTTTCTGCCCTTAAAGAATAAGGTGAAGCTACGTGTAGATGGCTCGAGGGGATCTGGCCTCTTATGCTGATCACCTCAAGGTCTAGGAGGATCTTAAGTGTCGGATTTGCAAGGCGCCTCAGCATGAAATCTTAAGGCTCGTGACATTCTGAATCAAGGCGACTGACTCAAACGAAGAAACCTGAAAGGTTTTGACCAGGTTGATTATTAAGATATTAACATTTGATATGTATTAGCAAAAAAAAAATTGTGATATACGCCTCTTGACTTACAACATTAAAAGTTAAAACTGGCGTAACATTCCGTTCTTTGCTAACAAGAGCTACGCAAAAGTGAACTGGCGAAGCAACCCAGCCACTCTGGCCCCATACGTACCTGCTCCTCCTTCGCCGACTATAGCGGTGACAATCATAAGCATAGTGGCCTTTCTCACCACACTCATAGCATCTGTCGTTGGGGTCAAAGGGGCGTCGCGCAGGAGGCCTGTCATAACGGGAGCGACGAGGCATCCCTGTTGACACTTCCACTCTAACCCTGGAGCCACATATTATCCTGGAAGACACAGTACGTATTTCTCCTCTGTGCTCACTAGACACAGAACGGTTATCAGTGATTGGTGTAGGCTGAGCACATCCAAAACTGCAGCCAGAACAGCCGAGAAGGTTTTAGACATGCACTTACTTCCCATCGAGGCCGAGCACAGCATCTTCAGCATCCCTTGGGTCTTCAAACTCCACGAAAGCAAACCCCGGCGGGTTCCTGGCGATCCACACGGTTCTCAGGGGCCCGTAGTAGCTGAAGGCTCTCTCCAGCTCGCCTTTGCCCGCGCCCGTGCCCAGGTTCCCCACGTACACCTTGGTCTCTGCCGGGAGGGGTCCCAC